ATTTATATGTTATACAACATACAGTATTATATCTAGTATATATACTGTACTATACTATATATTGTATATACTAAAACAGACTCACGCTGCGGCGCTGTTGCAAAAGGTTAACATTTCTATTAAGGCCACTCCCTGATGGTTGTTGTTCTGGTTGTTGTTGTTGCTGTTGTTGTTGTTGCTGTTGTTGTTGTTGCTGCTGCTGCTTGACCACCCATCAGCGCTGAGTTGGGTCGCCAAAAACACTGCGGCGAAATATGCAAATTATAATGTTAGCATATCGCCTGCGCGCTTTATATATGTAGATGTAGATGTATATGTAGATGTATAAAGGTGCCTAGATTTACCTGAGTTGTTGTTGCTGGAATTTAACATTTGCCGCTGGCAGTGCCCATCTCATTGTTGTTGTTGTTGTTGGTTTGCCATTTGCTATTTTGTTGTGTGCTGCACAGCACAAAGGCAACGTGCAACTTGCAACATGCAGCGCTGCCAAGTGCAACACAGTCGCTGGCTCTTCCTACCCCCGCCCCCACCAACTGTCTTTGTCTCTCTCTCTCTCTCTCCCTCTCTCTCTCTCTCTCTGCTTTTATGTCTTAATATAATTTAAGCTGCAGCTGCAACAGTTTGCTGCGCTACTGCTGCATCGCTGCACCCACCTTGTGGCACGCCTACACTGACGGCGCCTTACTCCCGTCCCACCTGCCGCCTGCGCCGCTGACGCCCCGCCCCCTCAATCGCCCGGGGCTAATCCGCACAATTTGCGGCTGTGCCAAAAGATTGTGATTACGTTCAATTTCAGATTTCCCCTCGGCTCGCTTTGCTATTATTATTGGCATTATCATTATTATTACTATTATTCTTATTGTCATTATTATTATTATTATTATTATTATCATATTTTGTTTATATTCCCATATTCGGTTTCCCTTTCGTTTTCCCTTTCGTTTCTCCCGCACTCTCGTAATGTGCGCAAATTTCTATAATTTGCATTGGGGCCGGTTCTAGTCGGGCGAATTCTCCTGCCATAATTATAGCAAAAATTATGGCACAGATTATGGCCTATTTGGTTTTATTGATTTTGCAGCGACGTGCCGTTGCTATAAACACAGTTCTATGCTCCTTGAATGATTAGACTCATTCGATCCGAATTGTTCCGTTAGGTTGGATTGTGCTGCAAGTGTTGCTGAGTGTAGATATCTGCTACTATTATTACTTGCTACTACTATTTGATTTCATGCTGATAAGAAGCAGGAGAGTAGTAGAAGTAGTAGTAGACTCAACTATTTAGTACTATTTGCAACTATGCGCTGGACACTTTTACAATATGTCAGTATCTACTACTATTTGCCATAAGCTACTACACAAGTGTTTTTCAAACTACCAATATCTACGACTATTTGTTATTAACTATTATTAATCACTATCAGCTACGCTTTTACTATACAATACTAAATGCTACTACTATCTCTTCTAGGCTTTAGTATTAAAGAAAAAGGAGAAGCAAAAGTAGTAGTACCTATTACTTACTACTATTTGCAACTATGTAGAACTATTTAGAGCTACTACTGCTACTGCTACTACTACCACTATTAGAACTACTGCTACGACTACTACTACTACCACTATTAGAACTACTGCTACGACTACTACTACTACTACGACTATTAGAACTACTGCTGCTACTACGACTACTACTACTACTACGACTATTAGAACTACTGCTGCTACTACGACTACTACTACTACTACTACTACGACTATTAGAACTACTGCTACTACTACTACTACTACTACTACTACTACTACTACTAATACTACTACTACTACTACTACTACTACTACTACTACTACTACTACTACTACTACTACTACTACTACTACTACTACTACTACTACTACTACTGCTACAACTGCTACTACTATTACTACTACTACTGCTACTACTGCTACTGCTACTACTATTACTACAACTACTATTACTACTATTTTTCACTGTTTTCCCTTTTTTCTATTCCCTCTAGGCATAGCACTACATATCCTACTAATTTTTTCTGTTATATGGTACTACTAAGCATACAAATACTTACTTAGTACTATCAACTCCTCTCTACTATTATTTACTACTACTACCAAAACTAGTACTACTACTATTTTCTTTACTACTATTTTCTACTATATATGTATGCCCTTATAACTATATACTACCCTTTTCTACCTGCTTCTTAGTCAACTGCTGAGTCACTTAACCACTACTCTTTATAAATATTTGCTACTACTAACTCCTTTTCTCTATTACTACACTATACATATATATATATATTTATCAGTCATGTATACAGATATACATATATATTCTCATTGATTGGTCCGGCGCATTGCTTTGGCTAATTGGCGGCGCTGCCCTTGAAACAGTTGCTGCTGCGGTGGCTGTTGCTGCTGTTGCTGCTGTTGGTCGCATTGATTTATAGCCTTGGCAGTAGTAGCTGTTTCGGTTGTAGTTCCTGAACCAGTTGCGGTTCCAGTTCATTTGGCTGGCTCGAACGTGCCGCTCCGAGGCGTTGGCTGCCTTTTGTAATTTCATTTAAATTTGTTGACGATTTATATGGACCGCAATGGGAAAGTGTGGCAACGCCCACAATGGAGCACGCAATCTCAATACGAGAGGATCGCCTCCCGCTCTCCCGCTCTCTCTCTCTCTCGCTAGCACCTGGCTGCTGCGTGCTTTAATCTATGGCAATTTATGTTGTTGACTATTTGGCTGCAAATTACATGCAACATTTTCTAACTGCGCCTGGCGTTAGAAATCAAAGCCTTTGGCGTTCATTAGCTTTGGGGGCGTTATGCCCGCAATGTTAATAATAACAGCAGCAGCAGCATGTCGACAGCGACAGCGGCAGCGACGCCAGCAGCGACGTCGACAGCGGCGTTCAATTAAAAGTGTTGGCAATTTGCCACGCCTGGACAGTGCCGCCTCCTGCTCCTGCTGCTGCTCCTGCTGTTGCACCGGCTGCTGCTGCTGCTGCTTCTCCAGCAACTGTTGCTGCTGCTGTTGTCTGTTGTAATCAGGAAATTCGATTTTCTTAATGCCAGACGCGCAGACTTTGCTGCTGCTGCTGCTGCTGCTGCTGCTTCTCCTCTACTATATAGTATGTATATATACATAGTTAGTATATATATGTATATCGAGGCAAACGGGTCCACTAATATGCGCGTGAATTTATTAGCGCTCATTTTGGTTGCGGCCTTTTGCATTTGGGGGCGTGAGCGCGCCGATTGCATTTTTTTAAATAAATTCTAGTGCAAACGGGGCGCGTGACAGCCACAGACTGGATGCAGTCCCGAGCCGAGCCGGGCCGGGCCGGGCCGGGCCAAGCCAAGCCAAGTCTGGCCAGCATCTGCCCGAAACGTGGCCAATAGCCAAAAGCTCATTAGGCAGTCGGCCCGAATCGCGTAGATGCGAAATGCCAAGCCGACGCCTTTTCAATTTGCCAAGCCATGAAAATTTACAACATGTTGCCATCTCCCTCTCCCTCTCCCTTTCTCTCTCTGCTCTATCTATCCCTCTCTCTTCAGCTGGCAGTGCATTGCATACCCCAAGGCGTGCAAGCGCACATAAAAATCGACAGATATGCTGCGGCCAGCAACAACAGTTGCTGCTGCAGTTGTTGTTGTTGTTGCTGCTGCAGTTGCTGCTGCAGTTGTTGTTGTTGTTGTTGTTGCTCCCATTCCAGTTGCGCTGGCAGCGCATTGTCATTCGTGGCGTGTTCACGCCTTGACGCCCGCAGCAATCGCCAGCCAGTTGACCACTTGCAACAGTTGCCACAGTTGCCACAGTTGCTGTGCAACATCTTCAAAGTGAAGCCGATGCCCCACGCTGATCGTAAATCTAATAAATGCAGCGCACCTCGCCTCTACCTCTAGCTCTACCTCTCTCTTTCTTTACCTACGTCTCTACTCCTCTCTCCCGCTCGTTGCTTTCTAATGTTCAATCGATATATTTTATCGATTAGCGCTCCAGCTCGAAGCATCATTTTAGCGTTTGCTTTCAATTCATTCGCATTTCCAAGTTTATGAACTTCGATTTCATAAATTTCAATAAACGTTCGTTGGGAATTTATTTAATAGAAATTTCATGGATAAGGCATAAAATTTAGTTAGTTATAGTTAGTTATAGATATAGATATAGATATAGATATAGATATAGATATAGATATAGATATAGATATAGATATAGATATAGATATAGATATAGATATAGATATAGATATAGATATAGATATAGATATAGATATAGATATAGATATAGATATAGATATAGATATAGATATAGATATAGATATAGATATAGATATAGATATAGATATAGATATAGATATAGATATAGATATAGATATAGATATAGATATAGATATAGATATAGATATAGATATAGATATAGATATAGATATAGATATAGATATAGATATAGATATAGATATAGATATAGATATAGATATAGATATAGATATAGATATAGATATAGATATAGATATAGATATAGATATAGATATAGATATAGATATAGATATAGATATAGATATAGATATAGATATAGATATAGATATAGATATAGATATAGATATAGATATAGATATAGATATAGATATAGATATAGATATAGATATAGATATAGATATAGATATAGATATAGATATAGATATAGATATAGATATAGATATAGATATAGATATAGATATAGATATAGATATAGATATAGATATAGATATAGATATAGATATAGATATAGATATAGATATAGATATAGATATAGATATAGATATAGATATAGATATAGATATAGATATAGATATAGATATAGATATAGATATAGATATAGATATAGATATATAGATATAGATATTCTTATTCTTATCAATATTCTTATCAATATACTAATCAATCCTTAACATGAACTTTAACATGCAGTTAGTTTGACAAGTGCCTTTTACGCTTATCCATTGCAGGTGGTGCTGTCGGCCTGCTCCTCGTATTTCCAGAGCCTGTTTCTGCAGCACTCCGATCCACATCCAATTGTGATACTGAAGGACGTCCGTTTTGCCGAGCTGCAAACTCTAGTTGAATTCATGTACAAGGGCGAGGTGAACGTGCAATATTGTCAGTTGCCAGCGCTGCTCAAGACAGCCGAATCACTCAAGGTAAATGAATGCGAATGCGAGTGCAATACGAATGAATTCTAACTCTCTCTCTCTCTCTCTCTCTTTGGCAGGTTAAGGGCCTAGCCGAGATGACAAATCAGAATACGACGCTGCGGGAGCCCGAGCGGGAGCCGGATCGCTTGCGTCCCCATTCGCAGGCCAGCGGCGGCAGCGCCGGCGCCAGCAAGGCGGCCGACAGTCCACTGGACGCAGCAGCAGCAGCAGCAGCAGCAGCGGCAGCGGCAGCGTCAGCTCCCAGCTCTTCAACAGCCACGACAGCAGCAGCAACAGTGACAGCAGCTGCAACGACAACAACAACATCAGCGGCAGCAGCAGCAGCGGCAGCGGCGGATAATATAGCGACAACAGCTGCTGGCAGCAGTAAAACAGCAGCAACAGAAACGACAACAGCAGCGACAACAACAGCAACAAGCACAGCAACAGCAACAACAACAACAGCAGCAGCAGCAGCAGCAGCAGCAGCAGCAACAACGTCAGCGTCAGCTGCAGCTGAGGCGTCAGCAGCGACGTCCGCGGCGTCGAAACGTGAAGCCAGCGAACGCTGCAGTCCGACGCCGCCGCCGCCCAAGCGACCAGCGAGCAGCAGCACGACAGCCATTGAGCTGCTGGAGGATGAGGACGAGGATGACGATGATGAGGCGGAGGAGCTGCTGGAGGAGGAGGACGATGAGCTGCTGGAGGAGCTGGAGGAGGAGGAGGAGGATGCATCAATGCCGCTAGATCTCTATCAAAGACCCGCCGCCGTCGTTGTCACAGCTGCGTCCGCTGAGCCACATGCCGTGCTGCCAGAGAGCTCAACGAGCAGCAGCCACAACAACAACAACAACAACAACAACAATAGCAACAACAACAATGGCAGCAGCAATAACAACAATGGCAGCAGCAACAACAACAACAGCAGCAGCAATAACAATAATAACAACAACAGCAGCAGCAGCAACAACACCAACACCAACAACAACAGCAGCAGCAACAACCAAATGAAAGCCACATGCTCCTCCTCAAGGGTCGCCTCGCCCAGCGGCAGCAACGGCAACGATTGCCGTGGCAGCGGCACGCCGGAGCCGAGCAGCCGTGTCGTGGCCGTCGACATCGATGACGACGATGAGGACGAGCTGGACGATCACGACATGACCGATGTGGATGACCATGTCATCGTTGTCCATCGGACGGCAGCAGCAGCCGCGGCAGCCGCAGCGCGCGACATTGCGCAACGAATCGCGCATCAGAGCGCGCGGCGGGCACAGAACGCGAACGATGAGGATGACGACGATGATTATGATGATGAGGACGATGATCGGCAGGAGCCAGCATCGTCGACGGCAGCCGCAGCAGCAGCAGCAGCAGCCGCCGCAGCAGCCGCAGCGGCCGCCGTGGCAGCGCATGAATCGCAGCTGCACTCGCCCAGCGCTGACGGCGAACTGCAGCCGAAGAAGGAGGTGATCGACGACGACTACGACGACGAGATGGATCTGGATGACGACGACGAGGCGGACAACAGCAGCAACGAGATGGGGCTCAACATGAAGATGAGCAGCGGCGGTGTCGATCTCTCTACGGGCTCAACCGTTATACCATCACCGCTAATCTCGATGCCCTCGTCGTCGTCCGCTGCCGCAGCGGCCGCAGCCGCAGCAGCAGCCGCCGCTGCCATGGAATCAGCTCGCTCCACACCTGGCGGCGGTGGCGGTGGCGGTGGCGGTGGCGGTGCCGGTGGCAATGCCGTCGCCTCCGATCTGAGTCTGTCAATGTCGCAATCCGGACGCCCCTCGTCGCGTTCATCGCGCGACGGCAGCAGCGCCGCTGCCGATGGACGCTCCAGCAGCCTATTGAATCCCGGCAACGTGTCCGGTCTCTTGCCAGTGCAATCGGTGCCATTGGTAAGTCTCTAATCCCTAACGCCATACCATAGAGTCCTAAAGGCTTGACAGTGTGGGAAAGTCGGAAAATTTCCGGCGTATATGTGAAAACAAAGGCAGAAGGAAAGTGATACATAGAATAGGACGGGATAAACGCTTATGCATAGACTGATTAGTTAGGGCTGATAATCTTGCCGATAAATATGTTCCGGCGGCTATTGAAGTTATCGATAACAGGTGGATTTCCGTTATATATGCCATTTAATTAGTGGATGATACGCTGAAAGTTGTTTAGAAGAAATCTCGATACGCTATCGTGCCATTAGAATCAGCTTGATTATATCTAGCATATCGTCAATTACAGTAGAATCCCGTTATAGCGACTCAGCTTATAGCACCGTACGGTTATTGTGACGAAAATTCTGGTCTCAAGACAAACTTATATGAGCGAAATTGGATAGTTATAGCGTCTTCCGGGTATAGTGACAGACCCTTGAGCGTCGTTATAGCCGAATTCTACTCTATTTGGTTAATTTTTATTCATTTGCTGACTTTAGCAAAATGTTAACAAAATAATGTTAAGTGTAAACTTCTGTTATTCTTAAGACTGAAAAGCAGCTAAAGTTAACGGCAAAGAAAGTTTTGAAGACTTTAACATTGAGTTTACATTGAGTTAACATAGTTAGCAGAATTTCAGATGGATTGCATAGCTAGTCGCTCTGTTTCTTCTTTTCTCTATCTTCATCTCTCTCTCTCTATCTCTTGGCAAGACTTTTTAATAACATTCCCTTCCACACTTGCAGAGCCTCAAGAAAGAGATCGATTGCAGTGAGGATGATAACAGCAGTCACAGTAGACACATGCAACCGCGTTCGGCATCAGCTGGCGGCGGACTGGGCGGCGATTTGGATTATCGCGCCTCGCACGAATCGGTAAGTCGCAAATCTCCAGCAAATACTCCCAGCCGTACCCAAAGTCCACCCAATACCCCCCGTCAAAAAGCAAATACCCTCCACAGTCAGTGCCAAGTGCCCCTCCTCCCCCCAGAACATTTGATAATCCGTTAACCTGTTCCAAGTCCATTCAGTGAATGCTTTTGCTGCTTCGATAGGTCTTCAAACAAAATAATATACATATATATATATAAACGAATTCGAATCGAGAAACTCTCTCACACACTCTCCTTCTCTCTTTCTCTATCCTTCTCGCTCAGAGATTTCTCTGAGCATGTCAAGTTGACCCAGTCATTCAGATAGAATGCTAACTATACCTCTCTATAGCAAATACGTATTTAAATACATCATACAATATGGCTACACGCCTCATCTCTCTCTCTCTCTCTCTCTATCTGTCTCTCTCTCTCTCACTCTATTTCTTTCTATCTCTCTTTCTCACTCTCACTCTCTCTCTCCCTCTCTTTTACACACTTTCTATCTTTTGATTGCGCCCAATTCAATGCTCCAAACCCTAGTTCAAATTATAATTTCAACACAATATTCCGTATACGCCCCTCTCTCGCTCTCTCTCTCTCTCTCTCTCTTTGTCTGTCGTTTATATACCTGCCATTTATATACATTGCATATTTATATATATATATCTCTCTCTTAATATTATATATATTATATATAACAATAATTAAAAAAAAAAAAAACAAAACCAAATCTAAGCAAAGAAAACAAATCAAAACTCAACACATGTTTTTGCTCTTCGTCGTGTTCTTTGTCTATGAATTGTATATATATATCTACATATATATATATGTATAATAATGTTTATATATGTATATGTATATATAGTTATATATATATATATATATATATATATATATATATATATATACACATATATATATGCATATGCATATATACATATATATATTTTTTTAATCTCCATACATAATCAATATTTATATACATATATACACACACACAATTTAATATATACATATATAGCTATATATATATATATATATACGTTTTATTTATTATATATATGTATATGTATATATACAAAAAGTATTTTGGATAAACAAAAAATACCAAAAATATACCATATAATAATCTGATCTATTATATATGTATATTTGAATATATATACACATAAATATATACATATATATTTTACTTATTTATTCTTCTTTTCAACTCTTTGTTGTTGTTGTTGTTGTTGTTCCATGTTGTAGTGCGCTCTCTTTCTATCTTTACAAAACAGAAATCACTCGTATTTTTGTCTATACGTATTGCTATCTCTATCACACATGCACACATACATATACTCCCCCACTTTGCATACTTATATATATATATACTATATTGTAAACACTCTGTGCAATAAGTTTTCGCACAGTAAAATGACATTTCTCTTTATCTAGCTCCCTACGCCCCTCACTCTCGCTCTCTCTTTCTCTCTCTCTCTACCTCTCTCCCTCCCTCTTTTGTGTTTCAGCTTAGTTTGCATTGGTTTCTAATGTTGTTTTTTGTGCGGCCAGCGGATTTTGTTACTTCACACACACACACACACACAGTGGCAAAACATTGCTATTGCAATTTCCGCTTGCAATTCGCTTTTTTCACCATTTTTTTCTAGCATCTTTTTGTTTTATTTGTTTTTAGCATTTTTAGCCTGACCATTTTTTATTTATTTGCTGACCATGTTCGAGAGTTTGTTTTCTATTTTAATTTAATTTTTTTTTTTGTTTTTTTTTTTTTTTTTTTACTACTGCTACTGCTGCTGTTGTTGTTATTGTTCGTCGTGGCTATTGCAGTTGCATGTTTACGACACTATAATTTTCAATATGGTTAAAACGTAAGGCCGTATCTAAGCCAAAGCGTATTCGCTATTGCATATACCCTGGACAGGCTGCCTGACTGTTAAAGCTTCTCTTGAAATACTTGTCGCAATCGCAATGAGAAGCGCATAGAAAGTCGCAAATTTTCATTTGTGGGAATCGCAATACACAATAAATATAAATCAAATGAGGATTCAGAATCATTAGAGTGCATGAGAAACGCATGGAGGGGCGCCTAACAATTTATTTTCTCCATTTATGTTAAATAATAAGTAAACATGAAATAAATTTATTTTAGATTTGCGCTACATGCAATTCTGATTCAAAGCTAGCCTTACTTTAATCAATGAGACGCGCATAGAGAGGCGCTTCCATTGAAGTTTGCCACTTTCTACCCTTATGCGCAACATGAGAAGCGCATAGAAGGTCGCCTAGATACTTGCATCAGCTATAATGAAATCCTCTTTAAATTGAAATCCTCCAAATTCCCGCTACAAACTAACGTCGCTCTACAGATTAGGAAGCGCATCGAGAGTGGCCTTTGCATATTTGTCTATGTGTATTTTATATACAATATATATGTATGTATGTGTGTTTTGGTATTTCCCATTTACCAGATATTCAAATGTAAAAATTACAAAATCCTCTTCTAATTCCACAAACTAAGCTCTCTTGCACAGCATGAGAAGCGCATAGAGAGTCGGGCATATAGGGAAAGTCGCGCTGCCATTTGGCCTCATTCATTGTTTTGTCATTTCGTGTTGCAAATAGTTGTTCTTTTTCTTTTTCCTTTTCCCCCCCTATGGCCGGCCATAATTTATGACGCCGGCAACGAAACAAACGGCCTAGCGGGCCAAATGAGAAAAATGTCAGAAAACGAAGAGCGCGAAAATGCATTCGAAAATAATTAAATAAAACATTTTGCAGTTTTTCAATTTCAATATTTTCGCATTGATAAGGCGAATCCTTTGTGGCAGATTTCCCCCACTTCCCCGCTCCGTTTCCACTCTCTAGCTACATCAGATAATAATTTGGCAGCCAGTGAAAAGTACTTGAAGCGTGCATTTAGGCGCAGCGCGCACAACTGTACTTGCAATATTTAAGCAAAGCGCAGAAGGCAGCGACAGCAGCGTCGAAAAAAAAAACATCACATTTTTTAGCTTCCGGCACAAATATATTTTCACATTACGTTTTCTTCTGCTTCTTCTGATTTTCTCTTATTTTCGCGTTTGTTTCTTTTTCGACACACGCTTGGGATCCCGCTCGCCGCCTCGCTCCCTCCCCCCCTTGCTGCTAAAATGTCGCCGCTTCTGCCTTTTTAAGCGAACATTTTTTGTGAACAAGCAGCGAAAACAAAAACAAAAACAAAAAAAAACAGACGAAAAAAAATAGTCGCTGTCGTTTTTATTATATTTCTTGGCTCTGCTGCTGCGTATGCGTGTGTGCACATGTGTGTGGCGAAAGCTTTTGCCATTACTGTTTTGTGTGTGTGTGTTTGTGTGTGTTTTTGCTCGTCAACAGCGACAGCGACAACGACGACGACGACAGCGTCGACGCCAGTGCAAAGAAAAAGTACAAAACGCACTTTGTTGCAACGCTTGACGAATTTAAGCGACGCACGAAACAGCCGTCAGAGCGGAGGCGCGGGGTAGCTGGTATTGCAGTACTCATACACACACACACACATGTACAGAGGCCAACGTGTGCTGTGTGCGACCCCATGCGACACGCAACGCAACGACTGCAGCCCAATGAAGTCGACAAATGTTCGACTAGCATAACTCGAGCTGGGCGCTATGCAATGTCCTGATAACGATAATCAATTTGACAAATGCTATCGATAACTATAGCATATGTGCATTGCACATACATATGTATGTATGTAGGTAAAGTTTCGAATGTGTTCTGCTGCAACTGCAGCTGCTTAAGTCGGCAATGACCACAAAATCTTGCGTAGCGCATTCCTCACTCCCGCACACACACACACACTCGCACACAGACCCACGTGTGCAACGCACATGTGCATAAATTCAAATAAAAATTTATCTAAAAAACAAAAACCGAAAAATAAATAGCAACAAAGAAAAAAGAAAGGTAGCAGAGGCCTCGTACACACGCGGTCGCTGTCTGGAGTCGTTGTCGGACATTGACGCTGACACACGCACACAAACGCACACATGAGTGTAAATGGCTGTGCTCTTGCTCTCCATGACTCTACACCGCTTGCCACTCTCCCGCTCTTCCATTCTCTCGCTCTCCAGCTCTCCACCGCTCTTCGCCTAGCACAGCTCAGCCGCATTTGCCGCTTCATAAATACTTTTGCTTTTACACTTTCCTTTTTTTTGTTGCTGTTGTGTTTTTTTCACGTTTTACTCGCTCTTCCTCTTCATCTCTGTTTGGGCACGTCTAGAAATTATAAGAATAATAAAAATAATAACGGCAAAAAGACAACATCAGCAAGCAGCAGCAGAGAAGCAGCAACAACTTTTGCTTTCTTTTACCCTTTGCTTTCCATGCACAGACTGCAGTTGCAAACACAACCACACACATAATATATACAAAATCATACACATGCACACACACACACACACACACACATTTACACGTGCGTATTTAATTTTGAAACAAATACCTTCTTTATTTACTTGTGTGTGTTTCTATTTTTTTGTAAGCTTCGCTCGTCTGACGTTGCCTGCTCACTCACACACTCACGCTCACTTACCTTCTTGCTCGCTCTCCTGCTCCAGCTCGCTCTCCTGTTTGCTGCTCCTTCTACTTTACGTGCGCCTTCACATTTTCATTTGCCTGCTCGCCTCGTCGTCGTCGTCGTTGTTTTTGTTGCTGTTGCTTTCATGCAATTTTTTTTCCTTCTGTAGCATACCTTTAGGCCGAGGCTTAACTGTCGCTGTGCTTGCATTTTATGCAGCGTCATCGTCGTCGTCCTCGTCGCCGTCTCTACCTCCTCTCACTCTTTCTCTTCCACTCCTGCTGTTCTTGTTTAGCTGCGTATGCGTATCATATTTTTTGCGGTTTTTTGTTGTTGTTTTATTTTTTTGAGGCTCGCATAACTTTTGACTGCATTTAGGCAGCCGCATTTCAATTATAAAAAATATGAAACGACCTCCTCGCCCCGCCCCGCTCTAA